AAACCAGCCTCGCTCTCACTTATGCAACCCTGAGAAGAACCTATTGAGTTCTGCAGATGATACATGCTGCCAAAAACGATGCCTTTTCTCACTGTAAAAGTGCATTAGACTGTAAAATATCTCAACATTCTTAAAACAAGATCAATTTTATAAAATTGATAATAAGGTTCTAGAAATATACATCATATTGTATTCTACTGGAAAACTGTATTATTATAAGCATCTAGTAAGGTTTATGCTTAAACCTACCCATACCTTAGTCCCTAAACTTACCCGTATCACACCTCAGTAGCAGCAAAAGTGTTGTGCATTAACACAAGCTTTTAATCATTTTATAACATCTGTCAAGATCATTTGTAGATTTTCAATAAGTGCTCGATCCATTAAGCATTATATAATGTTTGTTAATGATTTATTGATGAAAGTTATTATAAAGTGTTACCCTCAAAAGAAGGTCATTTCTACTTTCATGTCCCCATTCTATGTCTTAAAATTATAATATAATTGATGCTTAAACTGACTGTTACAACTCAGTCTCCCCTATATGGCAGTTTTGTAAATAAAGCTATACATTACTCTTGTTACGGAGAAATGAATGCATTAATGCAGTTTAAATTGTTTGCGATTACTCATGAAATCCAGCGCTAGCTAGCAATAATGCTATGTAAAATAAAATGTAACATAAGCATATTTCTGTAACTGAAAGAGAACAAGAGCATGGCAGTGCAAACATCAATAAGTATTAGCCATGGATTTCAGCAATTAAATATTTGGTTTGTGGTACACTAAAATAATCCTTCCTGTTTACTAAGATTACAGAAACTGGTGGCAATATCAGAATTTTAAAACATGGTTAAAAAAAAAAAACTACCATCATGCATAACACCTTCATGCAAAATAACTCTCACTAAACAATGGCTTTCGTTACTATCAGTAAGAGTTCCTGAAGCTTAACCAGAGCATTTTAATACTTAGAAATATTACATACTTTGATGAACTGCAGCAACAGTATATTCATTTTCAAAAGTCACAGATTTCAAAAACTGTGAGGTGGCATTTATGTTTCTGGGACTACAATCACATGGCTCGTGGCACCAATGCTGCTTTGAAGTCATGCCACACCCCCGTTGTTATGAATATAGCGTGTTTTTCCTTCCCTTTTTCTCAGTCTGTTGTTTCACAAATGCTTCACCTCACTTCATATCACCATAGAGACCTGTCTGGTGTCAAAGCAATTAGCGTTGAAGAAAGACAGTGGTGGCCATCCTTGACACATCAGCCTAAACTAATGGCGCAGTGAGATACATCTGTTCTACTGCACTTATTACATCTATAATATTATGTTTTTTATATCAACAAACAGAGATTTACTACCCCAGATGAACCTTTCTAACCCTGAATGACTCCTGCCCACTTAAGTCGCCATATCTGAAACACAACAGCAGATCCGAGGACCGAGGAGCCTTTGGTATTTCCAAAGATTGTTTTCTTGCTTTCAACAGGACACAATTTGTTCAACTTAACCCAGCAGGGCTTTACCAACACTTGACATGGTTTAATCCCTTGTGAACAGAATGTGGCAATGAACATGACTCCACCATCCAACAATTGCAATACAGTCTCCTTTGAGATCGAGCACCGCAAGACTCCTCCTGGCCACCTTAATCCATGTTCGCTTACAACAATAGCTATGTTTCCATCACCCTATTTTAATGCACATTTTGAAGTATTGCATGAGAAACGAGTGATGGAAACGCCAAATTTTGAATAAAAATCCCTTAATTCTTAAAAAAGTTTTTACGCTCGCTTGAGGTGGTTTTTGACTTGTGCGAAAAAGGGTTGATGCGAATAATGGGAGATGGAAATGCATTTTGCGAATAAGTTCCTTCAAGCGCATCAAACAAGTCATGTGACTTTGCGCTATGGGATGGCAAAACCTGACTAACCAGTGGACCGATCTCATTCCACAGCACCTGAAATGTAGTTATGGTCATTCGGAAATGCACAAGTCTGTCATCAAAGTATTTCTGTATAATTGCCTCCCAGAAATGTCTTACACGACTGCATTCCCAAACAGCAGCATCCACCTCCGAAAGCAACGACCGCATTGTGTTTCGTCTGCTAGCTCTGAGGCGCAAGTAATTTATTATATATGAAAATTATTATATTCTCCTACTTTTCTTAGTGATTTATAGTGCCAGTTTATCAGGAAGTGACGATTTTGTTCTCGTTGACTTGCTGGATGGAAACGATGCTTGTTCGCAAATGTTTTATGCTAAATTCCAGTTTTGCGCATAAGTTAAATTCGCAACTTTGGATGGAAACCCGGCTAATGGCAGTGTAGGAATTATCTGGGCCAAAATCTCATAGAAAATAGCTGAGGGATAAAATAATTCCCTATCTGCTAAATTCGATGTTGGTGATTGTGAATCTGACATTGTTACCCCCCTAAACATTCACAGTATGATGCACATGATTCTGCATTAAAGTTGTTGAAAGGGGGAACCGAGTCAAGAACAGACAGGCAAAGTTTTGAAAACAGTTCCTTGCACGTATATAAAAGGGACATGCATAATACAACTCCTTTAAGATCTTTAGCTGCTAACACAAAGGTTACAGGTTTCAAGATTTCAAATAGTTGACCAAACACTACAATCCTGTGGGAGTATGTGATCTGCCGTGGGGGCCATGTGATGTACCAGCAGTATCTGCAAGGATGTGATTGCAAAAACTGCAGCATTGATCCCGAAACCAGTTTGCTGAATCTGTGGATGTTTCGAGTTAATTGTGCAAATGGCAAAAAATTTTGCAGACTGTTCAAATGTAACTAATTAGACACGTCCTAATCACTCCGCAAGCAAAAACTTGTTCTTATACCTGCAATTTCTTTTCTGGAAACAGTCTCCTTTTAGATTAACAAATGATACTTCCTGGATTGTTTGCAAGCAGCACAATTCTTCTGTAGGTTTGCAAGAATATTGCTAGAACCCCTAAACAATTTTGAGATTAATGAAGCAACATGCAAAGCAGACGATATTCAGGGAACTTCCTTTGGAAATTGCGGATCTTCTTGAGCCGTGCTTGAGGATGCTTTGAAAGCTGCAGGGGTTAGGGATTAGGCTCAAGGTTAAACTGCGGTATTAGATCATGATTATTGTTAGTCGAGGCCTGGTTGCAGTAGTGGAGAGAAATGGATTATGGTACATAAAGCATGCAGGATTATTTCAGCTGCATCCATGACTACTGCATCACAAATGAAGAGCTTATGCCTTCATGAACACCAAAACAAAGAGAACTAACTGCAGGAAAACTATATTCACAGTCATGCGTGAACATGTGCATATGTGTCTACGTGTATCCCATAAAGACAATATCTACCTGTTGCCTGGCAACATTTGAGGGCTAATTCAGGTCCAGTATTGTGTGCTTAGAATATATTACTCTTCATCATCCTCATGAACTCATACAGAGGATCTCCTTTCAATCATGACCTGTCCTCCTCCAAATCCCACTGTCCAGCAAAATAAAATTTAAATCCCTGTCCTCTTCTGTTATTACCTTGTGGTCTGAAATAAAGACTGATTACTTGTTTTCTATAACACAAGTGTTACTGGTGATTGTTTATATACTGGTGATAATCATATAGTAGCAAAAACAAACAAATGCAGGACAGAATATTATAGCCCTATTTCTGGTGGTGTTCTTTGTGATAGGCATGTTTTGTTAAAAAATGTTAAATACCAAATAAAACTAATACTATACTGTGTACTAATCTTATAGTATTAGCTTCTCCCAAATGGTGCACTTGATGTGGACTCGCGGTGTCTTCATGGACATGCATGAGCGAAGACCATAAGTCCACATCAAGTGCACTATTTGGGACAAGCCCTTAGTATAAGATTAGTATAGTACAGGGTGCTCCTAGAGATTCAACTACCTGCAAAACCCTAATCAAATACACCTGATCCAGTGTTTCTCAACCCTGTTCCTGGAGGCACCCAACATTACACATTTTGAACATTGTTATCTGACCTTATCTGACCCATCTATTCTGGTCTTATAGAGTGTCTACTAACAAGTTGATGAGTTGAATCAGGTGTGTCTGATTAGGAAGAGTTCAAAGATGTGTATGTTGGTGTCTACAGGAACAGGGTTGGGAAACACAGGAACCCTGTTCCTGGAGACACCCCAACAGTACACATTTTGGATGTATTTCTTATCTGACCAAACCATTTCAGGACGTGACCTCTCTACTAATGAGCTAATGAGTTGATACAGGTGTGTGTTGGGGGGCCTTAGGATTGGGAAACACTGGTGTATAGTATTAATTTTATGTACTGTACTGTAGGCCTCTTTACCTTCAGTCATGGAAGGCCAGTGTCCTGCTGAGTTTAATCAAGGTGTTCAGCATTCTTTGCAGTTTACAGACAATTGGGTTAAATTAGGATTGGTACTAAAGTCAGCAGGACATTGGCCCTCCAGGACTGGAGTTGAAGAGTCCTGGGCTAGGGTGTCCAATCTGACATCTCGCGATTCAGGGAGGTATTCATGCATCTTTTTCAGAGTTAGCACTGATGCTGAATTCACAGTGGATTATTATCTGACAGCCTACACCAGGGTCCTTCAACTCCACCGCTGGAGGGCCGGTGTCCTGCAGACTTAATTTCCAACCCTAATTAAACACACCTGTCTGTAATTTTCAAGTAATTCTGAACACTGCGATAAGCTTGTTCCAGGGTGTTTGGTTGGGCTTAAACCTAAAGTCTGCAGGACGCCAGCCCTCCAGAACTGGAGTTACAGGCCCTGTCTCTTTGGGTTCGGGAAGCCAACATTGTGATATGTCCCAATGCTGCAGTAATCCTGCTCGGAAAACACTCTCTACAATCAGACTAGAGACCAAATTACTCAATCTCATCAATCAGGCCCCAATTCAAATGGGGGTCCATTTTAAACTATGATGGTTGGACAGTAAGTGGAAGGTAGAGATGTCATCAACTCACCTTTGGCTGGGCCTCCACTTCCACTACCTGGTTTCTGTTAATGATGCCCTTGACGAGAGTCTCTACATTCCCATTAAACTTCATGAAGAGCACATAGGTGGCATAGGCAAGCAGCAGACTGATACTCTCCCAGTACATGATGTAGTTATCCAGGAAGAAAATTATGAGCATGACGAGGCCGACGATGTAGAAGAAGACGTCCCTGAACAGAGGCCACCACGTCAGGTTCAGGATCTCTTTCGAGAACACGGCACACATTCCGATGACAAACAAGATGTTGAACACAGCAGAGCCGACGATGGTTCCGATGCCCACATTACTATGGGAAATGAATACGCCGATGACGGAGGTGAAGAGCTCAGGAGCCGAGCCCCCGGCCGCCATAAAGGTGGCGCCTGCCACGTCATCAGAGATCTTGAGTTTCTCTGTGATGACCGTGAGCGCGGGGACAAAAAACTCATCGCAAACAATAGCGAGAGCAATGAACATGTAGATCATGCCGAACATGTGTAACACAACAGCACCATGCCGACGGTCCTCCAGGCTGAACAGGTCAGTCGGATAGCCCCCCTGACTCTCGTTTGACTCTGCGGTCGAGCGCATGGCTATGGGTGTGTCCTCCGAGAGGTTGCTGTGGTAACCCAGGTGTGTGGACAGCAGTGTCCTGTGTGGGGCGTGGCTGTGTAGCCCCTCCCACTGAGCAGTAGAGCGCCACGAGAAGGCCACTGCACTTATTGCTAAAATACTGATGAGGAGGCCGAGCACCCGTGCTGGCCTGAGTTTCTTCCACAAGCGCTGAGAGCGCTGGCGGGCACAGACGATCTGATGGTGCTGCACGTCGGAGGCCATGGCCGTTCTCTCTGCTTCGATGCTCATGTGCTCTCTCTTGTTACACTATACAGTTGGGCTTAGCACATGCTGAGAATGCTACTTCTACAGTAAATCTGCAGAATCCAGATGTCCTTCAGCACACCAGAGGCTTCCTCATATTAGCCTAAGAAAAATAATCACAGAGAGAGGGTAGGGTCCTGGTTAATCACACACCACACAAAGCCAACAAGATCTGTGCTGCCAGGTCAGGTATGTCTGTGTGTAATCGGTGAGTGTGCATGTGTGAATCTGTGAGCATCTGCGATTGCTGACTTGTTCTTATTCTCAGCTGTGTCTGCATTTTCAAGGTCACAGTGAAACGGCACAATGTCAAAAGCATGTCTGCATCCCTCTCATGCCCGACGCAGCACATTTCACAGCATGCACCTTATATAACCACAAATAAGAGCTAAAAATCATTCACATTGATACTACTGACAAATCCGACTGCCACAAAACATTTTGACGCGTTTTTGTCTATTAAAAAAATAAAAAAATAAATAATGGAACTTTCATAGTCTACTTTCAGATCTTCTCATGCTTATGTTACAACACTTATAAAAGTCATCTTTTCCTCACTAGATCAACAGTATTGCTTCCTTGATGATCATCCTATTAGAATAAATGAATTAAAGTTGTGTAGTCTGATTAAAAAACAGTGTGCATCCTGTATTTTCTTAGTATATTAAAGTGATTTACCCCATTTATTGTATTGAGGCATTTACACTTATTGCTGGAAAGGATCAAATTAAGTGCAAAAAAAAAAGGTCCAGCATCAACTTTAGTACAGAAACTAGACATGTTGGGTCATTTGGTAAGATTAGTTCTAACTGTTGTTCTCTTGGTCTTTATCTCTAATTATTATTATTGTATTTTATTTTTTTGTTGTTTCTTGTAATGACAATGATACATACTGTGGAAAGTGGAGTTGGTTTAATTTGTTATTTTGGGAATTTCTGATATTTTGAACTTAAATATCTGAATGTCTCTAAACCCTTTATCATGCTGGTCGCGTTGTTAATCTCTCTATCTCGCTCCCAGTGATTTCAGTTAATTTCTCCATGCTCGTCTGTCTGACATGCAACAGACCTGTCATTCTCATGACCTCTGAGCTCTGCATGGGACCAAATATTCAAGGATACAAATCTCCATATATAAAACCACTGAATGATGAATAGTCTTGATATTTGAAGGTGAGTTTTGATCTAACGGACCGTTATCTGTTTATACTCATATAATCATTAATGAGGCATCATGTGCAATGTACCAATCCCGAACTGTTTAATACAAGCAATTAAACACATTGATAAACTCACTGATCGAATAAATGAAATATGTGACTTACATTCAGAGGTGATGGATGAACGTGCAGCAGGTTGACAGTCCGCGTGCGTTCTCTCTCGTGCCCTCCAGTTCTTCCTTTCCGACTGTGATGATGATGGTGATGTTATTCAGGGGCGGAGCTACGAGAGCGCATCTCTGTGTCCAGTTCCATGCTTTTATTCCCAGACATCACCTATGGCGAGGAGCAACGATCAGACTGACCACAGCCCCGCTCTCTCTCTCTCTCTCTCTCTCTGTCTGTCTCTGTGTGTGTGTGTGTGTGTGTGTGTGTGTGTGTGTTCGCGCAGGTGTCGCCGTGTGGCTCAGTGACGTCACTGAGTGGAAGCGTTGCCGTGGTTACAGCAGCGGCGTTCTCCGACTCTCGCATCATCACGAGTTTCGAACGATAGAAAAAGCACAAATCATGTATATGTATATGAAATAGAGAAAAATAAAAAATGTTTTTGATTAAAATAAAGTGAAAAAAGAAGCAGCAATATTAATGTTTTTTTTTTTCTTTTAATTTAAAATGCAAAAAAAAAAAAAAAAAAACATCGTTCCTGGATTGTTTGCAAGTAGCACAATTCTTCTGTAGGTTTGCCACGATATTTATTAAACCCCTAAACACTTTTGGGATTAATGAAGCAACATGCAAATCAGGCGATGTTAAGGGAACTTCCTTTGGAAACTGCGAATTTGCAGGAGTGTGTGTGTGTGTGAGAGAGAGAGAGAGAGAGAGAGAGAGAGAGAGTGTGTGTGTGTGTGTGTGTGTTTGTGTGATTTGTGCACCTGTTTTTCTATTCTGGTGGGGACTTAAACCTGAATACACACAGACTCATGGAGACTTGTGTCATGGTGGGGACCTGAATTGAGGTCTGCACGGGTAAACAAGCTAATAAATCACACATAGGCCTAATGAAGTTTTTTTGAAAATTTAAAAATGCACAAAGTTTCCTGTAAGGGGTAGGGTTGGTGTAGAGCAATAGCACATACAGTTTGTACAGTCTAAAAACCATTACGCCTATGGAGAGTCCCCACAAGGATAGCAAACCAGACATGTGTGTGTGTGTGTGTGTGTGTGTGTGTGTGTCTTCCACATAATGGTAATGAAAATGTCAGAATAAGAATACTTGCAATAATGCATTGCAGTAATGAGATTTGGAAAGAAATGTGCTTAATTTTCATAAATGCAATGCCTTTATTGGCTTAATTTTCTTCATGCATTTATTTATTTATATTTATTTATTTTTTATTTATTTATTTTTGGAGTCATAATATAATTTTGAGACATTTTCTTTGCAGCCTTTCATGAGATTCACCCACATTAACAGGCTTGATTTTATTTGGTAAACTTGTAAAATTCTCTCAGAAAAAAAAATCTAAAATCTGTCAGTGGGACGGTTTTCAAAAGGTACATTTGTAAAGGGTGCATATTAGTACTGTAAAGGTACATATTAATACCTTTTGAAAGGATCCCGCCCCAGTGACAGCTTTTGTACCTTTTTTTGTTTTGTTTTCTGAGAGTGTACAAGGTTTGAGAAACCTGTTGAAAAGAGAAAATCTCTTTCTGTCTCCCTCGTTGGATTAACACTCTTCACTCTTTTTAGAAAATAAGGAGTCAGGCTGTGTTCTTGTGTCTGTCCGGTGTGTGGAGTGAATGTATTCAGGCGGAGAGGAAGGAAAGCGGCGCCCTCGAGTGAGCGGACAGGGATCAATGTATCGATGCTCTAATTCTGTCATTTTTGTCTCAAATTGAGACTCTCCATTTTTACTCTTCTGAAGTAATGGCTGTGTTTCCAGACGCTCTCAGGAGACAGGAGTGTGAAGTGTTCTTGTGCGTTCGGTCGGCTGTAGGCCTAGTGTTTCATCGAGTAAATGCTTTTCTGTTCTGTGCGGATCTATGCAGGGCATTTTTGCTGAATCAATTACAACTGCCCACGCAGAACCCAGAACACTCTCGCCTCATTAACACATACATTCCTGCTGTCTCATTAAAAGTCACTGATTGATGGACACAATTCAGAGTGAGTCATGATTTACAGTCTGCTTGTGTTAACTCACCTCTCTCTCATTTATAACGATGGCAGAGTCTGTCCTCACTAATGCTCACTCATCTTTATAGAGGAGTTCTGTGTATTTTTTATCTTTTTTTTGTCAAAAACTGATAATAATTGATAAAAATAAAATAATTTGTAACACACCAGCCAACAGATTCACGGATAGTTTGTGTAGCCAGCCAATAACAGTGTGTAATATTGACAAAAGTGGGAAACACAAGATCAATAGTTAGTTAAGATTTAGAGCCAAACAAATAAGTGTTTACAAAACATTTTGTACTCATTAATCAACAAATCACTTGCTCGCAATCATCAAAATATTAACTGTATCTTTAAACTCCTAAAGTTCAGAAATTTTTCTTACATAGCTAACCAGTATAAGTGCCTAGTTTTCATGAAAAGTATACTGTGCACATTAATAATCTACTTGTAGACTATCAAAATGATTTTTCAAAGTTGTAAACAAAACAAAGATTATTGGGGTACTTTTTACAAAAAAAAAATACTACTTCAGTTTTTCGTCTACTTTCACCTTTAATATTACAGAAGCACAAAATACTAGGATCTATCCAGTTAAGCCTGTTTTGTTTTGTTTTGGAATGTAAAAACAAACAAACAAACAACACATAATGCAATTATTTATTTTATCAGGAAAATACCATATAGCCTATAGACAAGAAGTTGAAATCTTTGTAAACCAAATTAATGCTATTTTATACATTATTTGTAATTACACATAGAATCACTAAAATCACTGAAATGTATGTAACTTTTTTTTGCCTGGCAGCTAATGTTGTTAATAATGTGAGTAGCTATGTACTACATCTTGCTCTTGTGGCATTTTATAAAAATTATAATAATAATAATAATAATAATAATAATTTCTACCCGAGAAAGACTTTTACCCGACAGTCAAAGCGGCATTACGTCACAAAA